AAGACGGAGATCTTTTTTATTTTCATGTTGGAAAAGTTTCCTGAACCGCGGGTCGTCATAGTGGTCTGAACGGGGCGATTTCATGCTGCAGTGATGGAAATAATAAATAAAAAATGTATTCATTTTAGTTACATTTTTTTATATCCTCTGGAGGAAAAAAATCAGAAGTTATTTTATAAGCCTCATTGATACAATTTTGTTTTTTTATTTAATTTGATAACATTTCAATGCCACCACTGTCCTCTAAGTGGTGCTCAAGTCTAGTTCTGTGCTCTTGTCATACATTGACATTAGAGCCCCTTTCCTGGGGTGTGGACATCATGCGGTTTCAGGCTCCCCCTGCTGACCACGCTTGTCCCCTCAGTTTCAACACCCCCCCCCCCCCCCCCCCCAACCCTATAGGGTGACTCAAATTATCACCATGGCAACTGCGTTACCTGCGCAAGTGCTCTTTACTGAAACGCAGATTTTGACCTTCCAATCGTGCCGAAATCCTTTAAATCTCGTCAACAAACAGGAACTAATTCCAGTGCTCAACAAGAAATGATTGTGGTGAATGTTTTTGTCTGCCCTCCCACTGTCTGTAGGTTTGAGCTCTTGCTGGAGCGGTAAGTTGTCCAAGTGTGGCAATTAGAGCACTTTGGCTGAGCACATTAATGAATTTTTCAGAATCAGTAGCAGGAACGTGGATTGGACTCCGACCAATCAGAAAATAGGGGATGGCTGCAAGGACCAATCAGAACGCACAGGCGGGTATAAATGCAGGACAGTTGGCAGGATGTCCAGACTCCCTGCAGTTCCGCCGATATTCCTGCTCACCCACGTGTTGCATACCAGACACGCGACTACCGTGTCTCACTGAGAAGAGCAGAGGGGAAAGGGGTGGGGCTTCTCTCACACAGTCCAATTAATATTTGTTTAACATTAAAATGGCCCTTTATTACACATTTACATTTTCAGTATCCGTCCGAATGTATTTTTTGTTTGTTTTTTATTCAATGGATTCTACTGTTTGTTGTCACCTCGCAAGCACAGTGAAATTCTTTCTTGCATGGTAGCCCACAAATTCAGGACAACAGATGTACAGAGAACAGTGAATAACAACAGCAAATTAATGCTAAGTCCACTATTACAGTGACTACAGCATTACAACAGGTGAGGCAGAGTGGTCTGCAACTATGACAGTGTACTAAAGTTAGCATGAACAGCAGGGGTACTGTAGGCAACCCTGATCCTGGAGTGCCAGAATCCAGCAGGTTTTCTATCCTACCTGATTAGTGACTGTCTGCCTGAGAGCAGGTGTGGTTCATCAGAGACCAGGTAGGATGGAAGACCTGGAGACCGGCACTGCAGGATCAGGATTGCTTACCCCTGGGCAACAGTGTGTATCATTAATCGGATGATTAGCAAACC